AAAAAAAAAAAAAAAAAAAAAAAAAAAAAAAAAAAAAAAGTAGAGTGGGATACTGTGCAGGTGTCTAGAGTGGTAGGGCTACTGGGGCAGGTTGAAGTATTAATAGATGATGAAGGTAGGCCTTGCTAAGATGGTAACATTTGGGCAAAAACCTGAAGGAGTTAAGGGAGCCAGCTCAGGGGAATTTGGGAACAGGCAGATAAAACCTCTAAAGTGGGAGCATTCCTAGAGTGTGCAAGAAGTGGCAGGAAGGCCAAGGCGTCTGGAGCCCAGTGTGTGAGGAGAGAAGCAGCAGTGGTGAGAAGGGCAATGGGGAGGGCGGGGAAGGACAATCATGGAAGGGCTTGTGGGCCATGATAATGAGGAGGACTTTGAAGCTACAAACACTTAAGTCAATCAGCATTCTCTGGTTTTACCGAGGAATGCAAACTTTCATTGGGTCCTAAGACACAATCATTTCAGTTTCTTCCTTCCACCTTCTTGGGGTGGAACAATGTTCTTTGTGAAGCCCTACGGAAGATTAAACTTATCTACCAGCTGATAGTTCCCATGCTGGCATAACCCTATGGTATATCACTATTCATTATGGGTTAGAAGGTTAGTTTGATCTTTCTGAATCTTTTTGACAAAGTTTATTATCTATTTATACAGAGAAAAAAACCCACATAATTCTCAGATGTTTCATATACTACCTATATGATAAAATGAATTGCTTACCAACATACTGCTTCCAAAATTCATTCTATAAAGAATAAAAGAAGACAAATTAATGGTAGTATTTAAAGTGTTTTGGTAACGATTCCCTATCTTTCGTAACATTTATAATACATACATATATATGGATGCTTTAAAATGTTAAAGAAAAGTCCCTTTTTAAAGATTTTCTATTCTATGTTCTGCATCTGAAAGGTATTATGTAGAAATACTCACTGTTTTTTCAGTGTTTTCAAAAACTTCTCGTGCTTCTTCAAAATTACACTTTTCTTCTAAACATTCTCTCTCAAGGTTCCCTTGAACAAACTCTTCCAATTTACCTGAATTATACCTCTTTGGCCTATTCAGAATTTTGTTGGCATTTTCATTATCAAGAAAAACTGAAATGTAGAAAAATAATTATTTAGCTTTAGGGAAAAAAAAGAAAACATCATGAAAATTAAATATATCTCTTAAGAAAGGCTTTGTTTTTAATCCAAGTAATCCCAAAGCCAATTTCTCTTTAGGGCATGGAGCCAAAATCTGTGATGTTCCCACAGTCCTATATAAACATGGAGATTTAGGAATTAAAATTCAATTTTACTTTTAGTCAGGAGAGTTCCAGTAGTAAAAGGTCAGATTTCTAATCGTATTTGAATTTACTTTGGATGAAAAAGAAGGTTCTCAAATGAGCAGTTAACTTCACACTTTGTCATCACTTGAAAATAGCTAGCTCATTGCGGATCCTTGCAAGGTGATCCATCACCCTGGCTTGGCTGTTTGCAGGATACAGTTGCCCAAATGACTTTGAACAAATGTCTCCTGAAGAACAGAATCCTAAATATGGTCCAGCTGCAAATGTGATCTCAGTGTCTGTCACTAGGTTTTAAAGAAAAACCACTACAATAATTCAAAAAAATTTCAGATCAGCAACACCTTTGGTTAGCATTGTACTATAGGAATTGCAGAGATTTAAACATCTCTCTCGAATTTGGGATGTGGATTTTTTTAAGTGACAGCTACATAGTCTGTAGAGATACTCCTGAACTCTGGAGGATTGATGTCCCCATCTGAATTGTCTACTTCCTTTACTCCTTCTCTCCTCTGTTTCTTTGTCTCTCTCTCTCTCGCTCTCTCTCTCTCTCTCTCTGTGTGTGTATATATATGTATACATATATATAAAATAATTTGCTGCATAATGACATTTTGGTCAATGATGGACCACATTATATGACAGTGGTCCCATAAGATTATAAAACTGTATTTTTACTGTACCTTTTCTATGTTTAGACAGAAAAATACCGCTGTCACAGTTGCCTACAGTGTTCAGTACAGTCACATGCTGTACCGGTTTGCAGCCTAGAAGCCCAGGGGCAGTAGGCCACATCAATATATCCTAGGTATGTAGTAGGCTATACCATTTAGGTTTCGGTAAGTACACTCTATTATGTTCGCACAATGATGAAATTGCTTAATGACACATTTCTCAGAATATATCCCCATTGTTAAGGAATGCCTGACTGTATACACACATGCATGTGTTTGTGTGTTTTAATGTATGTATATGTATAAAATTAATAACAGAGACTCAAGAGGTTGCCTTGAGTTGTTCCTTTCTTCAAGGGTCTAGCAATATATCTGATACCATCTCAAGAGGATCAAGAGCTTATAAGATAACCTTTCCAGGCTATTTTTGACTACTTCCTAAATTCCAAAAAGGAAGAGAAAGGAAAGTAAAAAAGGAAAGCAAAGGAGATGTACTAAACTTTCTTCCCTTATTTTCATTGCAGCTGTTCACTTTATGGAGCATTCTAGTCCTTTGATATCCTTGTTTTTCTCTTGCTCTGCAAGTCCCCTTTGGGCTCACTTTGTTTTCTTTGAATTTAGCCTAGACTTTTTCTCTTCAACTCTCTCTTCTTCTTCTTTTTTTTGTAAGTCAGAGTCTCATTTTGTCACCCAGGCTGGAGTGCAGTGGTGCAATCTTGGCTCACTGCAACCTCCACCTACCTGATTCTAGTGATTCCCCTGCCTCAGCCTCCCAAGTAGCTGAGACTACAGGCGCACACCACCATGCCCAGCTAATTTTTGTATTTTTAGTAGAGACAGAGTTTCACCATGTTGACCAGGCTGGCATCTAACTCCTGACCTCAAATGATCTGCCTGCCTGGGCTTCCCAAAGTGCTGGGATTACAGGTGTGAGCCACCGTGCCCGGCCTCTCTTCAACTCTTCATTTGCCAAATTTCTCAATTCCCTTCACTCCTTTGAAATGCTGTGCCTATCCTGCAACCCTAGCCCCTAAATCAGAGCAGCCCTCTGCCTTCATCCTTCTCTTCCCAGACGGCTGAGCACTGTGAAGGAAAAACATCACCAAGCTGCAGATGTATGCCACTACATATTGATGCCTCACAGCCTCCACCCGCCTCTCTGCTCAGCAACTCATTTACTTGGCTCTGGACACTCCTAAATAGCATTCATTCCTGCATCCATTTACAGTCATTCCTCAGTATCCATGGAAAATTGGTGGCAAGACCCCCTGCAAAATACTAAGATCTGCAGATGCTCAAGTCTCTGATATAAAAATGGCTTACTATTTGCATGTAACCTAAACACATCCTCCCTTATACTTTAAATCATCTCTAGGTTTCTCATAATAGCTGATACAATGTAGCTGCTATGTAAATAGTTGTTATACTCTGTTTAGGGAATAATGAGAGAGAAAAAATCTGTACATGTTCAATAGAGATGCAACCATCCACTTTTTTCTTGAATATTTTTAATCTGCAGTTAGCTGAATCTGTGGCTATGGAACTCACAGGGAGAAATGACTGTACAGTGTGGTTGAGTGATAAACAGAATACCATCAGAGAGAAATAGGTTTGAATAAAATATCTGCCTCCTATAGACCTTGTGACTTTTGACAAGTCACATAAGCTCTGAACCTTAACTTTGTCAAATGTAAAATGGGTGTTTGTTTGTTTGTTTGTTTGTTTTTTGAGACGGAGTTTTGCTCTTGTTAGCCAGGCTGGAGTGCAATGGCGCGATCTCGGCTCACTGCAACCTCCGCCTCCTGGGTTCAGGTAATTCTCCTGCCTCAGCCTCCTGAGTAGCTGGGATTACAGGCACGCACCACCATGCCCAGCTAATTTTTTGTATTTTTAGTAGAGACGGGGTTTCACCATGTTGACCAGGATGGTCTCGATCTCTTGACCTCGTGATCCACCCGCCTCGGCCTCCCAAAGTGGTGGGATTACAGGCTTGAGCCACCGCGCCCAGCGTAAAATAGGTTTAAAAGTAGTGTAATAAGGATGTCCACCTCACAGTGGTGTTGACAGGATCAGTGAGAGAATATGCTGGCTATCTCTCTTTCTCCCTACTTCTTTCATGTTGGCCCTACTTTCCTCCTTTTTAATTTTCTCAGTTCTCTTTAGCTCTTTAATAACTTTTGTGTAGCTCTTTTCCTTCCTTAATCACATTTACATAATGAAATGACTATTGTCACAATCAGGAATGACCTAAAGAATAATTTTGAGTTTATGTATTTACTGGCTTCTCTAAATCATTTCTAATTATTGATCTCTCCCTTTTTAGGAAAGTATTTTTATAAGAATCACTCCATTCTGGTTCACCTCTTGGCTCTAACTCCTATTGTCCATCCAGCACTTGAATTGATTAACACCTCTTCCTCTCCCTGGCCCTTAGATGTCCAGGGTTCACCCAGGCTCCAGCCTCAGCTTTTTCCCTTTTCACTTCATATATACTTGTCAGGGCTGGGACAAGAGTGAACTAAACAAGGCATCTAGGGCACAATATTTAAGAGGTCCTCACTTCTCAGCATGTACAAGTATATTTATGCCCTACAGGCCTTGCTTACCACACTCTAGTCCAGCTCTGACCCTGTCAGCAAATTTACTGAGCATATAACCACTACTGCCTAGCACCGTACTAGGCATCCCGATATCTGTGCTCACTCTCTAGATGCCCACACACATGGCTGTAACTACTGTTTACAGAGCACTGAGTTCCAAATACTCATCTATAGTTAGGTATGTCTCCTGAATTTCAGATCGTTCTTCCAACTCCCTAACTGTATATCATAATGTGGCCAGCAATAGCTGATGTATATGTAATGCTTCTGCTGTGTTGGACACTGTGGTCAGTAACTTTGCATCCATTATCTCACCTTATCCTCACAAAAGTCCCATGAGATAGGCACTGTCATCTTATTTTTTAAATGAGGAAAACTGAGGTTCATAGAGACTAAGTGCTTTGGCCAAGGTAACATACTAAAACGTCAGACCCATCATTCAGACTCTGGCAGTCAGACTGAACAGCCAGTTATCTAGACATTATGCTGTGGCCCATAATCATGTCAAATACAAAATGCCTGAGACTCTAAGCCGCTTCCCCTTCCATACCCAGATGGATAAGTCATACCACTTCTCCTTCTTTAATATCATTTGAACTCTCTTTTTGTACAGCCACTGTTCAGGTTCCAGCCTTTATGTCTCCCCTAGATAATTGCAATAGTCTCAAGACTGCTCTTTCCTCATCTTGGTATGGCCTCCCTCCCCAACTATCATATCATTAGAGTGTTGCCCAGACTGGGCATCCTAAATCAGCCATCAGTGTTACTCCTTATTTTCATACTTTGGATACCTCCATATTGCATTTTATTTCCCAATCTCCTTAGGTTAACGCCTTTATTTTATTTTATTTATTATTATTATTAATTTTTTTGCACACGTGGCAGTGTGTTTTGCTGCCTTCCTCCCCATCACCTACATCTGGTTAACGCCTTTATTATCTGATGACGAGCTCTGCCTAGTTTACCTGCTTCACTTGTCGTAGTCTATGTGGAACCAAACAAAACTCCTGAAATACCTCATATTCTTGCGAATCTGAATCTTTGCACATGAGTAATCCTCTCTGAATAAAATGCCCTTATATCAGACATTTAAAGAGAGATAACTCCTACTCATCTTTTAAGACCAGATGAAAATATTGTCTCTCTTGTCGTGTTTCCCCATTTAATGCGTTCCTTTCTCTATGATCCCTTAGCACCTGGTACACATTTTATCACATTATATTGGAATCTCTCACCTGGCCTTATGGTGCTTTACATCAAAGAGGGGGCCTAGTTTATCCCCATACCGCTAGTACCCTGCCACAGTACCTGGCATTGTACTAGCAACTCAGTAATGTCTGAATGAATGAAGGAAATCTTTGATGCATATGCTTTATAAAACTAAACTGGTTTTACAAAACAGATTTAATTTCAAAATTCTAAATTGTTGCAATAACACTTAAATGCAGCAGCCATGAAAATGCAACATCTCAGCAAATCATTCACAGAAACTTCTTTTAGAAGCCAGTGAGAGTTTAATAGCAGAAGAGAGTGCTGCATTAATATTGTTTATTCTTAAAAAAAATTTCCCTGGCCCCCTCCTCAAGAGCTTATTATCTCTAGCTACAATGGCTGTAGAATCACATTGCCTTTCTCCTTAGTCTTGTCTGGAGGTCATATATTTAACTTCCCTTCAGGCTTAAAAAAGCCTGGTTCTTCTTTATTCGAATCTATCCTTTCCCTAGCATCTGAAGTCTTTAAGCAGCCCTCTCACAACCTTCATCATTTCACCACTTGTATTGAAAAAAGGGTTTGGATTCTTTGTCCTCCCAGATGTCACACTAATGAGATATGTCTAATGACCTTGTTTTATGTCCTGCTTTGTGTGTTTTCCAACAAATTTTCTTTATCCCTTGACTTTACTCACTTTGCTAGTTTAACCTCTGTATTTTTGCATCATTATTTCAGCATTTCAGTCTGATTTCATAGCTGACATCATGTCTGGAGTGGGAACCACAGGGCCAGTCAGCTTTCTGGGGGTGCTTAGGGTTGACACCCCTGATCCTGGTACTGTCAGCTACTAGATTTGATTCGAGAAGGTTGACAAGTAAGTGTGATAAATGCTTCCTGTGAGAACATGCTGTTTGTCCAAATGGGATAATTTCTTCCCTGTATGCCTTCCTCTGGGGAATATATAAAGTTGCTGTAGTTCTGAAAAAACAAAGTGATATATGTTGCATTAGCTAACTTCTACTCTTTATGTCAATTCTTAGACTTGCTTATCTCCCCTAGGGAACTCAAGTGGGTAATGTGTTTCACCAAATATCAACTCAAAAATGTTCGAAATAGAGAAAAAATGATTTTTTTCCTAACCTATGAAAAACTTTCATGATAAATAACAGCTTACCAATGAAAGATTAATCTTTATATTTTAACTAATACTTTAAATTGAGGGTATATAATTTTAAAAATCAGAGCCATACCTCATTACATACTTCTAAAATCTTGAAATGTCATGTATCTTAAAATCAGACTTTTTGTGTAAATAAGACTGTTTGTGATTTTAATGTTTCCCATTTTGATTTCAAGGTGGTGAGTCCAAAAAGTAATGTAATTATTTTTTTCACTGTATTCTGCTATTTCTTTGTTTTCCCACTTTTAATTTTTTTAATTAAAAAGATAAATGTTTTCTAAGAGGAGTTACATGGCCAAGTCATAAACTGAACTGTGTTTATTAAATATAAATGCATCATAAGCATTGCCAATCTATTTAGTTTTAAAAACAAAGAAGAAGAAAACCTAGCTAACAAAGAACCAGTACTTACCAACCTGCATGCTGGCTGCTAGACTCTTCAATATTGCTGTCAAATCATGTAATCAAAATTTAGTGAAGACGACAGCACCAGATATTTCTGTATCTAAAAGACAAGCATACTCAATATATTTTAAAAAAGGAAACAAACCTGTACATTCAGCACTGAGTAGATATCCTAAAAGGCAGATGGTGATGAGGCCTGGTGATTCTGCCATGATCATCTTCAGGCGCTGCATAACCTTTGCTAGCAGATTGTGCAAGTGGTAAGGTCGATCAGTTGTACCAAAGTACAAGCTGAGCTGTATTTACTTCTGGGAAACAATGTCCATCTCCCTCAATGGGTCTTTGAACTATTTCCAGTGTCCTCTCGGGACAAGTGAAGAGAATGGGCAGTGGTCATCATTAAATTTCACCTCTGATTTCGTGGGCTTGTGCCATTGTGGCTGATTTGAAGCTGAAACAGGAAGTGACACATCTTCAGAATGGGGATAGGCATAGAGGCTACATTTACTGTAGCAGTACAGTTCATCAGTGGGACCCATCTTATCTTTGTTAGAGAGCATTGATGTTTGCCAAAATGGTTGTGCCACTTTACATTTCCATCAGCAATGTGTGAGTGATCCAGTTAGATTATTTGATTTTTTTCACTGTTAGATTTTTAAGGTTGTTTATATATTCTAGATATGAGTCCCTTCGTAGATATGTGGATTACACATATTGTCACAGGGCGGAATTTTTTAGTTTTGATGTAGTCCAGTTTATCTTTTTTTATTTTATAAATCACATTTAGAATTCTACTAACACTAGATCCTGATGATTTTTTTCCTATTTTTTTTTCTAAATGTTTTGCATTTTGAAGTAGATTTATGTCTATGCTCCATTTTGAGTTAATTTTTGTGTAAAGTATGAGGTTTAGCTCAAACTTCCTTCCCTTCCCTTCTCTTCCCTTTCCTTCCCTTTCCTTTCCCCTTTCCCCTTTCCCCATTTCCCTTTCCCCTTTCCCCCTTTCCCCCTTTCCTTGCATAGGGATGTCTAATTTCTCAAGCACAATTTGTTAAAAAAAAAAATTTAAAAACCCACCCTCTTCTCCTTCAATTGAATGGCTTCTGAAATTTTTTCATAAACCAGCTAACCATATTGTTTTGGGTCTACTTCCAGTTTTTCTATCTATTCTTTGTACCATTGATGTATTTATCCCTCTGCCAATACCACACAGTCATAATTACTGTAGCTATGTAGTAAGACTTTATGTAAGGTAGAGTGATTCCCCCAATTTTATTCTTCTTTTGGTAAGATGGTTTTAACTATTCTAAGGGCTTGTAACTTTCCATATACATTTTAGGATGATCTTATGTGTATCTAAAAAAAAAAAAAACACTGTGATTTTGATAGGAATTATGTAAAACATATATGTCACTTTGGGAAAATTGATACCTTCAACGTGTTGAGTTTTTCAATGCAGGAACATAATACATATATCTCTTCATTTACTTAGGTCTTCTATTTCTTTCATCAGTTTTTTTGTAATTTTTAGCATATACATACTATACGTGTTTTGATAAGTGTATACATAAGGATTTAATTTTCTCTGGAGTAATTATGAATACTATTGTGTTTCTTTGTAAGGCTTAATTTTTCTAGAGTGATTTTAGATTCACAGCAAAATTTGGTGGAAGGTACGGAGATCTCCCATATACTCTCTGTCCCCACACATGCACAGACTCGTTCATTATCAGCATGTCCCACCAGAGTGGTACATTTATCACAATTGATGTACCTGCATTGACACATCATAATCACCCAAAGTAAATTGTTTGCTTTAGAGTTGATTCTTGGTGTTGTCCATTCTAAAGGTTTGGACAGATGTATAATGACAGGTATCCACCATTATAGTATTATACAGCATAGTTTCACTGCCCTAAAAATCCTCTGTTCTCTATCTTGTCTCCCCACAACCCCTGGCAACCACTAATCATTTTTACTGTCTCCACAGTTTTGCCTCTTTCAGAAAGTCATGTACAGTTCGATGAGGATACATTCAGAGCAATGTGTCATTAGGCAATTTCATCATTATATGAACATCATAGAGTGTACTTACACAAACCTAGATGGCATAGCAGACTACACTACTAAGCTATATGATATAGCCTATTGCTTTTAGGCTGTGAATCTGTATAGCATATTACCACACTGAATACTGTAGGCAATTATGATAATATCTATGTACATAAACATAAAAAAGTACAGCAGAAATAAAAGAGAAAAATAGCACACCTATATAGAGCACTTATTAAGAATGGAGCTTGTAGGACTGGAAGTTGCTCTGGGTGAGTCAGTGAGTGAGTGATCACAGAATGTGAAGGCCTAGGACATTACAGTACACTACTGTAGATTTTATAAACACTGTACACTGAAGCTACACCAAATTTATAAAAAATGTTTAACCTTAGTTTACAGCAATGTGTTTATTTTATAAACTTTTAAAATTTTAAACTTTTTGACACCTTCATCATAATACTTAGCTTAAAACATAAACACATTATACAACTCAACAAAAATATTTTCTTTCTTATTCTATAAGCTTTTTCTATTTTTATTAACTAAAACCTTTTGTTAAAAACTAAGACACAAAAAAGCATATTGGCGTAGGCCTTCACAGTGTCACAATCATTAATACCACTGTCTTCTAGTTCCACACGTGGAAGGTCTTCAGGAGTAATAACACATGAAGCTGTCATCTCCTATGATAACAATTCCTTCTTCTGCAATACCTCCTGAAGGACCTGCCTGAGGCTGTTTTACAATTAATGTTTTTTAATATATAAGTAGAAGTATACCATAAAATAAGAATAAAATATAGTATAGTAAATACAGAAACCATTAACATAGTTTTTAGTTATCAAGTATTATGTAGTGTACATAATTGAGCTATATTTTTATACAGTTGACAGTGCAGTGGGTTTCTTTACACCAGCAATACCACTAACACCTGAGTGATGTGTGGTGCTACAATGTTACAACAGGTATGGTGTTAGTATGCAAAAGGAATATTTCAACTCCATTATAATCTTATGGGACCACTGTTGTATACACATTCTGTCAGAGGACAAAATGTTGTTATGTGGTACATAACTTTAGTTGAAATCATATGCTATGTAACCTTTCCAGATTGGCTTCCTTCACTTAGTAATATGCTTTTAAATTTTCCCCATGTCTTTTCATGATTTATTAGCTCATTTCTTTTTAATCCTGAATAATATTCCATTGTCTGAATGTACCACAGCTTATCCATTCACCTACTGAAGGACATCTTGGTGGTTTTCAAGTTTTGGCAATTATAAGTAAAGTTCTTATAAACATCTGTGTTCATATTTTTGCGTAGATGTATGTTTTTAACTCTTTTGAGTAAATAATGAGGATTAAGATTGATGGATTGTACGTTAAGAGTGTGTTTAGTTTGTGAGAAACTGCAAAACTGTCTTCTAAAGTGCCTGTTCCACTCTGCATTCCCGCCAATAAGTGAATAAAAGCTCCTGTTTTTCCACATCTTCATTAGCATTGTGTTGTCAGGGTTCTGGATTTTGGCCATTCTAATAGATGTATGATGGTATCTCATTGTTGTTTCAATTTGCAATTCCCTGATAACATATGATGTAGAGCATCTTTTCATATACTTCTTTGCCATCTGTGTATCTTCTTTGGTGAGTTGTCTGTTAAGTTCTTTGGCCCATGTTAAATGAAAATAACAAAATAACTCATGCTATTTCCTTATTGTTGGCTTTTAAGAGTTCTTTATGTTTTTGATAACATTCCTTAACCAAATATATTTTGTGAAAATGTTTTCTTCCAGTCTGTGTCTTATATTTTCATTCTCTTGACAGTGTGTTTCACAGAGCAATTTTAATGGGCTCTGATGTATCATTTTTTTTCTTTCATATATCTTGCCTATAGTGTTGTATCTAAAATGTTATTACCAAATACAAGGTAACCTATATTTTTTCATATGTTATTTTCTAGGAGTTTTATGATTGTACACTTTACATTTAGGGCTGTGATCCACTCTGCATTAATTTTTGTGAAGTGTGTAAGGTTTGCATCTAGATTTATTTTTTTCATGTCCAATTCCATGCCATTTGGTGAAAAGACTATCTTTTCTCCATTTTATTGCCTTTGCTTCTTTGTCAAAGATCAGTTGAGTATATTATGAGGGTCTGCTTCTGGGCTCTCTATTTTATTGAGCTATTATATTTGTATATATTTTTTTGCCAATACCATACTGTCTTAATTACTGTAGCTTTATAGTAAGTCTGGAGCTCTGGTAGTATCAGTCCTCCAACTTTGTTTTCTCATTCAATATTTTATTGGCTATTCTGGGACTTTTTCCTCTCCATATAAACTTTATTATCATATTGTCAATATCTGATATATTTTGGCTCTGTGTCCCCACTCACATCTTATCTTGAATTGTAATCCTCATGTGTGGAGGGAGGAGGTGATTGGATCGTGGGGGTGGTTTCCCCCATGCTGTTTTTGTTACAGTGAGTGAGTTCTCATGAGATTTGATGGTTTTATGAGCATCTGGTATTTTCCCTGCTTGCCGTTCCTTCTCCTGCTGCTGTGTGAAGAAGATCTTTGCTTCCCCTTCTCCTACTGTCATGATAAGTTTCCTGAGGTGTCCACAGCCATGCAGAACTGTGAGTCAAAACTTTTTCCTGTATAAATTACCCAGTCTCAGGCATTTTTTAATAGCAGTGTGAGAATGGACTAATACAGTAAATTTGTGCCAGAAGTGGGGTACTACTATAGAGATACTTGACAACGTGGAAGTGACTTTGGAACTGGGTAATAGGCAGAGGTTGGAATAGTTTGGAGGGCTCAGAGACAGGAAAATATGGAATTGTTTGCTGCTTCCTAGAGATTTGTTGAATGGTTCTGTCCAAAATGCTGATAGTGATGTGGACAATGAAGTCCAGGCTGAGGTGGTCTCAGATGGAGATAAACTTATGGGAACTAAAGTAAAGATTACTCTTGCTATATTTTGGCAAAAAAACTGGTGGCATTTTGCCCCTTCCATAGAGATCTGTGAAATGTCAAACCCGAGAGAGATAATTTATGGTATCTGGTGGAAGAAATTTCCAAGCAGCAAACTGTTCAAGAGGTGACAGTGTGAAAGTTTGGAAAATTTGCAGCCTGACCATGTGATAGAAAAGAAAAACCCATTTTCTGGGGAAAAATTTAAGCCAGCTGCAGAAATTTGCATAATTAATGATGAGCTAAATGTTAATC